TGTGAATTAATGTAATTGGCACTCAGATATCACAGGTTTTCCAGGATTGATGTTTATCTTTTATACACAAGAATATTCTTTGGGGGAAGGGGGAACTTCATGGGGTTCATTTTTTAAGAAAGCTGTTAAAATTCCATTTTGCTAGCACTGTTTCTTTCCCAGCAGTCAGCTATGCCAGGTTGCTTAAAGTGTCATAGAATGTGTTCTAAGAACTTGTTCAGATAGTGCACAAAGGTTAGATTTGTTCCTGTATGAATGTTTTTGAGTCTGGTTCATAAACTGATTTACTTCTTTATTCATAGCAAAAAATCCTGAAGCAGAAAGCACCTCTAAACAGAAAACTGAAGAGACCAAACAGAAAACTGAAGAGACGAAAAAGTAAGTTTTATGCCTAAATTCTAGATAACTGAGGTCTGTTGGATTAGGCTGGTAGATCTTTGTGCTACAAGTTAAACTGAAGGGTACCTGAGCCCCTTGGTTGTGGAGACTGGTGACCCCTATGCTTTGCAGTGACATGTGAAGCACCAGGAAATCTTCCTTTGAACTGATAATTCTCAGGAACAAGGGCTTGCTGTAAACTAAACCGAAGTTTGTGCTAAATGCATAATAGCTCTTCCCATGAGAGAACACTGATAGCTGCTGCTCCAATCATGAGATGTCCTCTTGATGATGCCCCTCCTTCATCTGGGCAAGAGGCTGGAGTGTAATTCAGGATGAAGTTGGATTTGTTTGTGGCTGCCTTAAATAGTTCTGAGATGCACTAGTGATGTGTTTGTGTTCAGTGTAGCCAAAGGAGCCCAGCTTGGTATAGACAGTCTTGATTTTTGTAGTAGTGTGGTTGGTGTTAGTCTTAGTCTGCATTTATTATTGAAGTTAGTCTGCATAAATTTTAGGAAGAAAACAGCTTTCAGAACTTCCTTTTGGAAAGTGTCATTGCATAGTTTATTCTCCTGGTGTTCTCTTCAAGACTAAAATCACTAAGCACCTATTGAACAGGAGCATTAAAGACTGTAAATTTAGGAGGTAAAGCCCAAAAGAGTGTCTAGCTTTTAACTTTCCTCTTGCAGAAGGCAATGGTCCCTTGAAGATTTTGAAATTGGTCGTCCTCTGGGGAAAGGAAAATTTGGGAATGTTTACCTGGCACGTGAAAAACAGAGTAAATTTATTCTTGCACTGAAAGTGCTCTTCAAAACACAACTTGAAGAAGCCGGTGTAGAACATCAACTAAGAAGAGAAGTTGAAATACAGTCCCATCTTAGGTAAAGTTTAGTGACTAATTACTCTGCTTTGTTTGCATTCTAATAAACAAAGTAACCTGGATTATGATAAGGTTTCTTTATGATTTCTTCTTTCTTTGAAGAAAAGAGAAGTTTCTTTTCAAACATATGACACCCTGGTATTCCTAGTCAAGATTCTTGCCTTTCTGCACTACAATTTACCGTTGTCTGCCTTGCAATGAAGTGACCTCTGGTGACAAATCTTCCTATTATAAAAATGCTACTTGGATTTATGTGGCTGCAATTTCTTGAGCCTGAGCTTGTTTCTGGTGTTCTGCTTCCTGGGAAATAAGATGAAATTGAGTTTTCACAGAAAACACTTAAATGCCAATTCATATAGGTTTGGGAACCTTCAGTGGTAATTAGTCTTCCAGCTGCTGTAGAAAAGTATGTTCAGAAGACATGAAAGCCAGACTCTTGGCTAGCTGCTTCCCACAGGGACTCTGAACTGCTGCTTTGGTGAATGTCATCTCTGCTATGAAGCTCTTCATTTGCTGTGAGCTGAAGGAACACTTATGAGATCAAGTTCCCATGCTGGTCTTGAAGGGGGTGGTGGGGGGAGAGGAGAGGGAAATTACAGGTTTTGGACAAATGCCTTGTTCAGAATAACACTTAAATCTCTTTGCAGGCACCCCAACATTCTCAGATTATATGGCTACTTCCATGATGCCAGCAGAGTCTACCTGATTCTAGAGTATGCACCTCGTGGAGAAGTCTACAAAGAACTTCAGAAGCTCACCAAGTTTGACGAGCAAAGAACTGCTACTGTAGGTTGTTCCAGCTTCCTATACATCACTTTTTGTAGATGGAGTATCTGCAGCTCTTCACACAGTGTTCTGCTATGACACTGAGATTCCTTGGATGCTAGTTTGCATATGGGCTTGTAATGGGATAAGTTAGGAACACAGTTACATTAGTGCTGTGTAATAATGTATGTTCAGAACTGCTTGCTTTTGCAAGTGCTTGGTCACTTCAGGCACAGCCTGTGTTGCCAGACTTCAAGGGTTTAAGGAATAATTGCTTTGACTTAAAACTACTAATTACGCCTAGGAAAAGCTGTACTGCAGCCAGATAAACCCTAATGACAATGTCTATATTAAAGATTGTTCTCTCTCAACACAGTACATCACAGAACTAGCAGATGCCCTCTCGTACTGCCATTCCAAGAGTGTCATTCACCGAGACATCAAGCCAGAAAACTTGCTGCTTGGCTCAAATGGAGAGCTAAAAATTGCTGACTTTGGATGGTCAGTGCATGCTCCATCTTCTAGGTGAGAACTCAGCATCTGTCTTGTGCAGTGAAATCTTTCTGTAGCGAAAATAGCAGTTTTTGTCACACAGTTGTGGAATGGAGATGAACTTTAAAAATACTGGGTAAAAATGCTACCACAACAAAGGTCTTAATAGTGAACTGGGGTAGCAGAGGAGTGTTGTTATCCTGTTTTATCAACAGTTCAAACTTTGCTGACCCTGAAAGAGATAAGGGTTGGTGTAGGGCTACAGTGGCCCCTGAGATGACAGAACAACACTGGCAATATTGTTATTTCCTTACTGAGTGTGAAATTAGACCTAAAAAAGGAGGACTCTATTTGTTCTATCAAGTGGGGTGAAGAAAATAGAGAGAACTGATTGCAGGGACTGAGACAGAAGTAGAAAATGTACTGCTGGCAGTTCTTTGCCAGATACTCTGGTGGTGCTGAGTCCATTCAGGTGGACTATACTGAGGTACTGATTATGGTCAGCATTAGTTTTTATCTGGCTCTGGAAATAGATCCTGTAATTGCCATAATTAATGATTAACTTGGACTTTTCTTCAGGAGAACAACTCTCTGTGGGACACTTGACTACCTGCCTCCTGAAATGATTGAGGGAAGAACACATGACGAGAAGGTGGATATTTGGAGCCTGGGAGTTCTGTGCTATGAATTCCTTGTAGGGAAACCACCATTTGAAGCAACAACATATCAGGAAACCTACAGAGCTATTTCCAGGGTAAGTGCCAGTGCTTATTTGGACAAGTTGCCTTTCAGCTCTAGAAATTTTGAATGATGGATGTATTTTCACTAGAACTGTAGCAGGACATAATGATCTGTGTAAACCTGTATCCCCAAAACTGTCTTCAGTCCTTCAGTGCAGTGACTATAAAGAGACTTCAAAGATACCTTGTCTTGCATCCTGGGTTCTTCCCTGCATCTGAATTTCTACGTTTCATAAAGCAACTCATCTTCCCCACAGCTTTTCTAACTGATAAAATGAGTATTTAACACTCAAGGTGTTATTAAAAATACATAACCTTAACTCTTCCTGCTGCATACCCCAGAAAGGTTCCAGCAAACTAGTTTTGTTTGAAGCAGGCTGAAAATATACACAACAATATACAAATACTTCTACAAGCAGCGAGAGCCTTGTTCAGGATTACAATGAAATTATTTGATCTCATATTTGGTTCTGTAGTTTGGTTATTACCAAAGACCTTTTTCCTCATCTTTAGTGTCCTCTTCTCCTTAGGTGGAGTTCAAGTTTCCTCCATTTGTAACAGAAGGTGCGAGGGATTTAATTTCCAAGCTTCTGAAGCACAACCCATTCCATCGACTGCCCCTGAAGGATGTTCTTCTCCATCCCTGGATCACGACAAACTCTACGAAGGTGCCCAGCAGCAGAAAGAGTGATGTTGCTGCCCCATCCAAAACGTAGTTTTAGGAGGACCTCATGGGATCAACAAGAGGAGTCTTGTACTGTGACTACTGTAATGCTTACAAATAGGAAAAGCAGGTCTTGGAATCTAATGGCAATTGGAATCCTTGGGTTGGCTGTTGTCTTACACTCTAATTGCAACATAAAGTTCTTTGACTTCCAGCTGGAGCTTGTGGAATATTTAATATACTTGAAATCCAGGTACTTGCGGGCCAGGTTTGATGTAAGTGTTAAGCTGTTCAAGGCTCTTGTGGTCAGTCCTGGTAATGGTTTGTTGTTCCAACTAGAGGAAGTTGTTGCTTTGGCTTACTGAACAGTGCAATATCCTGGAGGAACCTGCTCCTCACTTCCTGGGCTGCTAAGGGTGTCTAAACTGTGGTGTAACCTGAGACTGAGAGAGGTGAATGCATTTCTTAAGTGTTTATAAAATGATGAGTCAGTTATTTTTGGTGTCTAGTTCGTTTTAAATGTGAGCACTCAACTTTGAAATAAAGATTTGTTACACTGCAGCCACCACGGTGGGGTTCCTTGTGGCACTGGTTGTCTCTAACAGCAGCACAGCTGAACTCCTCCTCTCTGGTCACTAAGTAAGTTTAATTCCCACCTCTTGTCAAAAAGGAAGTTGGTATAAAGTTCTTCTCAGAGTGCTGGTACCATCAAGCAGGTACACTTATGTAATGGAAACTGCATTAATGGAATAATGCACTTAAGTACTATCTTAAATGCATGAATCACTACCCCACAGTCCCAAATCACGATTACAAGGTAAGTACCAAAGGTGTTGCTCCTTACCTTGTTGATTTATTAAGACTTTAGCTTGCTTTGTCCTTTCTTAAATGAATTTATTCAAACACATCATGATCTGCAAGTACTTCTAAGAGAAAGGTCTGGAAAGTATTGTTATCAAATAGGATATGACATATTAACATCTGGTGTTGTAAGACATTCTCTAAAATGTACCAAGGGTCAGGACCTTTGTCACCAAAATTTGCAGACCAACTATTTTCCAGTAAAACACTTCAAGCAAACTAAGACAAAGCAATTTATTGTATTTTCATTATAAGACTTCAATGTCATCTTCACTATTTTACAAACAACTTTAAAAAATGATCCTTTTACAAGCAAGGATTCTAGAATTCAAAATATATTCTCAAATTAATTTAAAATATACTTTGCCAAAAAACCACTTCATCTAAACAAATTGCCAGTAGTTTATACAACCCTCTTTATCTTAAGTAATCTGCATTCTGGTCATAATTTATATGAAGCTGTTTCTTTTTACAGCAAGAAAACTCTAGTGCTGGACTTCTAGGTACATTTGCTTTAAATTATTCCAGCTTTATACATTATTTTGAGAAAGAGAATAGTCAAAGGTTGTTCTATCAAGTTTAGGGCAAAACAGACTTATCAGAACTGATTCTAAACAAGAAAGGCTGCCTCATACTTATTCTGGAATTCTCTTATTGTTACTTGGCTGTTGTCTTACACTCTAATTGCAACATAAAGTTCTAGCTGGAGCTTGTGGAATATTTAATATACTTGAAATCCAGCTACACGTGGGTTTGATGCAAGGTGCACTTCAAAATATATTCTCAATTTAAAACACATAATTTGCAAAAAACCTACGTCATCTAAACAAATTACCAGTAGTTTATACAACCATCTTTATCTTAAGTAATCTGAATTTTGGTCATAATTTATATGAAGATCTTTTTACAGCAAGAAAACTCCAGTTTAGTGCTGGTGCCTTCTAATGACTTTTAGGTGCATTTGCCTTAAATGATTCCAGCTTTAGCTGTGACTTTGACAAAGAACAAGCTTTGACTATTCCTTCTCCATCAAGTTTAGGATGAAACAGACTTATCAGAACTGATTCTAAATGAAGAAAACAAGGCTGCCTTGTACTTATTCTGGAATTCTGTTATTATCCTGGTACAGATGGAGTCTGGGAAGCTTCAGTGTATCCAACCTGCCTCTGGATTCAACTTTCTTTGTGAGGAAAGAGTTAAGGTGCAATTTAATTTTATGGCAAAAGGCTGCTCATAACAAGAAGTTATTTGCTCTTTCCCTCCCTCAGCCAACTCTCATCCTCATCTCATAATTCCTTCCCATTAATCGCTAAATTTCAGAAAAAAAAATTGATCACCACGGTCACTTCCTCTTACTTTAATCAAATTCCTCGATGGGCAGCTCTGGAAAAGCCTCCTTGGGGCCAGTGTAAGGACAAAGACAAGCTGAGAAGAGCTGACCTGGAAGGAGGAACAGGTCTAAAACCTCACAGATCTGGCTCAGGCTGCTCTCAGAGCAGCACAATTCTAAGCCTCAAATCCCCCAGTACCCTCAGTTTTGGGATTCAGTCTCTAGGTTAGCTGGAGGGTGGAATGTGAAAATGCACATGTGTACCTACATTCTAATGGAAGTGTCCTATTAAGGAAAGGAAAAACAGCTCTACTTGCTACATTCACCAGTCTCTTTCAAAAACAGGAATTGTTCCTCAGAAGCTATGAATTGGAATGTCTGGACTTCGGGTGCAGGTTTAAAACTCTTCCACAGGAGTAGAAACTGCTTGGGTTAATTTTAAGATAAGAATGTGTTTCCAGTACAAAGCCAGATCTTAAGACATTAAACCACCACAGCCTGTCCCTGATGTGATTCTCTTTGGGGTATGTTCACACAGGAGGTAATTCTGGTTACACTGATTTCAGTAGACTCAAAATTCCTTCTGAGTCTATAGGCATAACAAAAATTAAAATAAAGGAGTTCAGTAAGATCAGCTCCCAGCCTATAAATAAAACACATTTTCAAAAAATAAAATCTTGGATTATGGAAGCACTACACAATGTAGCTCTAGTTTCAGACCAGTGCATCACTGCAATAATTAATCATAGGTGTACTCCCACTAAAGTTAGTTCAGCGTATGTGTTGTACTGCAAGTCACGCCATAATAAAACCCTTTTCTAACAAAAGAAACGCCCACTTGCCACTTTAGATTCCAATATAAACCCTTACCAAAAGAACCACCTGTGTAGTAGGATATTATTCTACTGGAAAGAGGATCTTACTGTTTCTCAGCTACACAATAACGAACTAATGCTGCGACTCAGCTTTCACAGGGAAAAAAAATTAAGGCCCAAAAAGCAAGGTTATAAAGCCTGTGTGTTAAGAGACTGCTTGTTGTAAAGCATTTATACTACCCCTTGCAGTGGAAACCAGACACCACTTTAACAGGTTTTTCCAAAGGAGAGGTGGCAAAAGGGAAAGAAGGTAAGGACAGCATTTTTCACAGTGACATTTACCTGAAAGAACAAGTCAGAAATGCAAGGTGAGGTCAGCATGAACACAGAATCTAAGGAAGTCTTTTAAAGAAACTTTGTGGACAGGGAGCATTTAAAAACCAAAATGCAGTGACAAATCATCATGGGTTGGAGGCAGGAGGTTTGAAGAACCCGATTTTGCGGCAGTACCGGACAACAAAGGGCACAGAAACCACCGTGATGCTGATCCTGACCGGAGCAAACAACTTGTGCACAGCATAGGCCAGGACAAAGGTGCTGGTGCCTGCAGCCATCCTGGACTGCAGGGAGGATTCACTGAAACCAAGCTTGAGGAGAATTGCAGTCATATCCACACCACTGCGGGGACAGAGAACAAGGCTCCTTTAGTTAATTTTAAGGTTTGTATTTTTTTAAATATAAAGCGCAGTTTAACATGGCACACTTCCAGCTCTGGAATTTATGTGCAAATTAGATGCTGTTAAATATTGAGCAGAATGAGTTATTTCAGCAGTAACAGCTTAAATTACTTCAGAACCAACAACACATACAGTATTTCCTGATTTCAATTCTTTCTTAAATTGTCGAGTTCCTTGTGAAGTCAAATATCTCCTTAGTTTTTCAAATATAGAGTTGCAGCATGTGCATGGAAAATACTCATAGAATCACAGAGTGGTTTGGGTTGGAAGAGCTTTTAGACATCACCTAGTTCCAACCCTCAAGCTATTTCTCTACACAGGGATTTTCAAAAAGTTAGCATGAATTTGTGTGGAAAATGTGTCTTTCCAAATTTTACAATAAAGTCTATTCTGTGTCTGGAGGAAGTTTATCACCTAAACATGGAATAACACAAAGCAGTAAATGGAAGAAATTCCTGTATTCCCACTGGAGTCAGGATTAAGCAGCAGGGAATGTTTTTCTCCTCAGCTGAAACACCTCATGCTCAGCAGACATTTGTACCTGATGCATTCCCACCAAAGCCACACACACAATTTCCATATACATTGAATATTATTTTTACTTTAATCCTGTTTTAGTGGCTGTTGTTTCTTGCAGTTCAAGTGCAGAAACTGTTCAACACCCAGAAAAATAAGTTTATCTCCAAGCCCCAGCACTTTTGCATGGCTCTATCTCTACAGACCACTGGCACCGTGTGAGAACAAAAGATATCTCTGCCAGACAAAGACATTCTCTCCTCTGCTCAGCTACTCTGGTGCAGTCTCTGCTGTTTTCACTGATGGTGAACCTGTGCAAAAAGATCATGTACAACTTCTCTCATGGCTGATGGGAGATCAGACCTGCTTATAGGCCCATCTATACTCAAAATCCAGGTTACTGTGTATGGATGCTACAGGCATAAGGTACATGTCTCCTGCCAGAAATAAGCACAGTGCTTAATATATTTTTCTTGGCCAAACCACTACTTTGAGGTGACAGACAACTGCACAAACCTCACCTTGACACAGCCAGGTAGAAGATTCCTAGAGATACTAATGAAATTCCAACATGGAATGAAACCCCTACAGCACCATATTCTTTAAAAACTTGTTTCAGCTGCTGGGATTTGTTGAGTTTCTTGTTCTCACCACTGGGATCAGTGGCTGTGTATTTGGGGGGTTCACGTGCATCCTAAAGAGAAAACAATTACAAGTACTTATTAGCATTAAGCAAAAGATCATATTCCAGTCAGTTGAACCAATGTGAAATAATGGGAAAAGTGTCTTGCAAACAGAGAGATTTGGGAAAGCAGTAATCACACTTCTGCTCTCACATCAGCAGAGCAAATGTCTGTGGCAGAGCCTGGGCAAGCTCCCTTTTCCCTCCTATCAAAGGGATACACTGAGCCTGGTGCAAGTTCTTGCATAATTCAATTTTCATAATTAAAAACAGAGTATTTGATCCAAATGTGTGCCAAGGCATATCCACACAGCTGCTTGAGAGGTGGGACTGAGGTGGCAGAGCCCCTTGCTTACACCTACTGCTCAGCTTTCCACAGTGAATCCTTGGAACGCAGCTTTTTATTCCAGGGCTAAGCAGCTGGTGGCACTGGAAGCCTACCTGATACCAGGCTGCTTGCTGGCTTAGTAATGACTCATTGGTGGAAGAGATCCAACGTTTAAGTTCCTATAAATCACCTTCTGTAGATCAGCTGATAAAAGGAAGAACGGGGAACTGCAAGTGTTGACAGCGAGCAATTCTGTTGCCGTGGTGTAGACAACAACTACAAGGACGTGCCAGGGCTAGTGTGAAGAGCCCAACTGCACTGCAAATGTTTGTCAGAGTAGAAGTTATTGACAGCTTTTTATCTGGGCACACTTAAAGTGCAGAACTACACACTAAATAGACCCCAAAGCAAACTGAAATCAGACACTGATGATAGCAATAAGACAGCCTTTGTGCTTGCCAGAGAAGAAGTAATGACAGGAAGAAAGCACTGCCACAAAAGCCTCAGGATCTGGCAAATGAGGGAAAAAAACCCCACTCAAAAGTATTTTTGAAGCAAGCTCACTAAGCAAAAGAATGGATTCATAGTTAGACACTCTAATTACTTTCAGCCCCTGGAAGGAATTAGATTCCATGGTTTTACTCCATGGCTACTGCTTCACTGTGTTTCAGAACTCATCCTCTTACTCTGCAGTGTTATTACAGGAAGGAATTATTTACTGGGGAGGAGGGAAAAATTCTCTTCTGACTCCCAGCCTTTAAAATTTAAATACTGAGTTACTGAATGCAAGTATCTGAATAACAAAATAGTTTCATAATACCTTCTGCCAAAAGCTGTCCCAACAATTCAATCACTGCCACATGCTTAGTCAAGAACACTCATTTATTCTACCGCATCATTTTTTTAAGAATCAAACATGGTTCGAGTGGTATTTTAATATTTAATAGCCTACAGTGAATTTTTCATACCAACAAAGATGGTCATTATCTATTTAAGGAGCCAAACGTGGATTTTCCTCAGAAAGCTGCTGTGAAAACAGGATCTGACAAACTACAGAGGTACATGAGCCTCAGGGGAACTCTAGGTCTTACAGATGGATCATATGTACTGAAAAAATGCTTGTTCTCATCATCCAAGTCCATTCCAATTCACTCGTGTTCCCAGGCTCACACACCAGGCAATTTTGGAATGGTATCGAAACAAGACGTTAAAATAGAATCACTTCAGCAGATGTTATTTGGACCACCCAAGGTGGTCATGCCCTGAATAATGCACAGCTTAGCAAAGAAAGCTGCTGCTACAGCATTTCTGCTAGAATCGCAATTTTATTCACATAATTTCGGTGATTTAAGCCACGAAAACATGTCTGAAACATCCTGTTATGCTTTGTAATGAGGCTACAGAAACCACTCTGCGAATTAAAGTGTAGAAATTAAAAACTATAAACGAGGCGTTTTGGAAAGCTCAAGTTAACAATCTTGGCACCAGCAGGCGTAAAACAGCTTCCCGTCTCCTACAGAAACCCGGGATAACCACGATTTAATGATCCCACGACCCCGTGTTGGGGGGGGAGCGGGCTGAACCCCTAAAGGCACCCCAAGAAACGTGAAAAATACTTGGAGGTCAGGACATGTCGTGCTTTAGCCCGCTCCCCACCGAGAGGTGCCCCCTCGCCCCCCTCACGTACCTTGGCGGAGCTGCCCGCGGCGCATCCCCGGGGGATCGGGATGGGGATCGGGATGGGGATCGGGGTCGGCACCGGCCGGAGCGCGGCCCAGGCGGGGCGGAGGGCCCGGGGCCCGGCGGGGCCCGGCGGGCTGTGGGGACCCAGGCGGGGACACAGCCGGGCCAGGCGGTACATGGCTGTTCATGGCACCGGGGCGGCCCCGGCCCTGCGCGCATGACGAGCCCAACACACACACACACAGCGCAAACCCGCCTCCTTAAAGCCGCAGCGGCCCCGTTCGCGGGGCTGCGTGAGGAGGGGGCACCTCCCACCACCTCTCTTTTAGTTTGAAGCCGTGTCCGTGTCACTCAAGGACCTTGTAAATAGTCGCAGAGTCACGGAATATCCTGGGTTGGCAGGGACCCACAAGGATCGTCGAGTCCTGTCCCTGTCCCTGAAAGCGTTGTCCAAACGCTCCTTGAGCAGCCTTGGTGCTGTGACCGCTGCCCTGGGGAACCTCATCAGTGCCCAGCCACCCTCTGGGGGAAGAACCTTTTCCCGATATCCAACCTAACCCTACCCTGACACAGCTCCAGCCGTTCCCTCGGGTCCTGTCCCTGCTCCCCACAGAAGGGAGATCAGTGCCTGCCTCTCCTCTGCCCCTCCCGAGGAAGTTGAAACTACAATGAAGTCTCCCCTCAGTCTCCTCCGGGCTGAACAGACCAAGTGTCCTCAGACCCTGCTCACCTCTACCCATGTTTCTTGTCGGCTCCTTTCAGGCACTGGAAGGCCACAATTAGGTCACCCCGAAGCTTCTCTTCTCCAGGCTGAACAGGTCTTTGGTGACCAGTGCCAGGACCCGAGGGAATGAGTCTGACAGAGCTCAAGGAGCATTTGGACGATACTTTCAGGCACATGGTGGGATTGTTGGGGTGTCAGTTTCCCTTCTCTCAGCCTGAAGCCATTCCCCCTTGTCCTGTCACTCCTGTTCCTGATAAAGAGTCCCTCTCTGGCTTCCGTGTAGCCCGTTCAGAAACTGGAAGGTCCTCTGAGGTTTCCACACAACCTTCTCTACTCCAGGCTGAACAGCTCCAGCTTTCTCAATCTGGCTTCATAGACTTCACCCTTATTGACTTCATGGCCTCCTTTGGACTTGCTCCAGCAGTTCCATGTCCTTCTTATGTTGGAGATCCCAGAGCTGGAGGTCCCACTGTAGGTGGGGTCTCACCTGAACAGGGCAGAGGGGCAGAATCCTCCCCTTACCTGCTGCCCCCTCTGTGGGATCAGCCCAGGACACTGTGGGGTGCTGGACTATGAGTGCACATGGCTGGGGCATGTTGAACTTCTCACCCACCAGTGCCCCAAACCCTTCTCCTCAGGGCTGCTCTCAATCCGTTTTCACCCAACCTGCAGGTGTGCCTGGAATTGCCCCAACCCAGGCACAGGGCCTTGAACTTGGCTTTGTCGAACTTTACACAGTCCCACCTTCTCTGTCTGTCCAGGTCCACATCCTGTTCCTCCAGGGTGTGACAGCTCCACAGATCGTTGTCACCAGTGAACTTGCAGAGGGTGCCCTCATAACTGTGATCACGACTTTGTCACAGCTGCCGTGGCTGCAGTTTTCTGAAATGGCTCTGTGCCATCACAGCCACTCCCTGCGGGGGGAAGGGTGAATATCCTATAACTGCATTAATGTCCTCAGACTGCATCTCAGTGCTGAGCCCCAGCTGCAAAGCCTTCCTTCCTCAGCCACGCTGTCGTTTCCGCAGCGATGGAAGCACAGAGGGTTGAGTACAATGGGACAACTGTGTCTCATAAACAGGAGGGCTTCCCTCCGGAAGAACTTGTACAAACTGGAGCTGCACAGGACAACACTGAGTGGTACAATGCCGGAACAGCGTGGTGGGAGGCTCTTGTTAAGTGCAGTGCACCACAGAACAGATGGGTTTCAAGAAGGATCTCGGAGGAAGAGAGAGGGAGGGCTTTGCTTGTATTGAAATAGTCTGTTCTGGGTATAATCAACAGGACTGCCAGTTCTAGGGTGTTTTTCTTTGAGTTCTTGCTTCATAAATCCGGCCTCTCTCTGAATGCTTTGTAGAAAAATACTTTCTTCGAACACAATTTCATCTATTTATTATGTTTATTGCATGTTCCAAAGCAATTTGCTAATGTGTTTTCTGTGACTGTTTACACAGCAGAACCACCTGAGCAGACAGATGATATTACCACGGCAGTGCTCTAAGCGAGACCACACTACAATTTTGTCCTTTTTCTTTCTGAATAATAAAAAATCTCAGGAGTTAATTCTTGTCTCAGTGAAGGAAATGTCAGTGAAGTTCCACTGGCACAGGCCACCTCTGGGCTCTGCACATGGACACAGACACTTCCCTGAGTTTGTCTGGTGGATCTAATCTATTGTGGTGCATGTAACCCATTGTGGGACAGAGACCACAGAGCTGCTGTCCCATGACAGATGTGTTACACTGCTGCTGGACATCTAGCAATGCTGGGCAAGTGCAGAAAGAGCAGGAGGTCAGCTAATGAGGCATAAAAGCATTAAGGCTGGCAGTTTTATGTGTACAGTCTGTCTCGCCGCTGTGTCCAAAATCTCAGAGGGTGGTTTTGCTCAGAAGCAGGAAGGAACAACATAGTAAACATCCAGTGATACATGCTCAGTGAAAAAGGAGCAAACACCCTTGAGACACCTTAATGGAAAGATGGTTTATAAGTGCAGGGGAAAAAGACATTAACTCTGTCTTGCTCACTGTAACTAAGACAAAGAAGAGAAGGTACAACTACTGTAGTTTACTATTATTTTCCCTTTTTAATTTTCCAGTAGCCAGATAGTACTGCTCTGGTTCTGTGTTATTTGTCCTATTGCAATTATTGTTTATCATCAGTAAATGGAAAGCTGGGAAATGAGCTGAGAGGCACCAAAGAGGCAGTAAGGTATAATGTCACCAGAAGATGCATTTGGATTCCTGTGAGGCAAAGACTTTTCCATAATGGCCATTCTCTATAACTTGGCAGAAATGTTTGTCATGCTTTTATCAGAACGTGTATGATGTAGTAACATAGCAAAGATATCTATTATAAACCTCTTAGATAACAATTTCCCTTCTATAATTTGACTTTTTGAAGTCAAAATCTCTCTTGGTTTGACAGTACTGTAGGAGCAGTGACAGAACTGAAATGTGCAATTTCTGTAACTAGAAATCAATGTTGCAGAGTTGTTCAATCTGTGGTTTGCTAAGAGACCAAGCTAAATACTGCCCCTGATGCTTGTGGGACTCTGCAATGAGCACTATAGGTCAGGAGTTAAATCCATTTGTAGGGATAAATGTGATTAGTAATTCAGCAGCAGCCTGTATGTGAGAATATCTTAGTCAAGCTACAAGGATGTTCTGATGATGAAGAAATCTTGGAAGTCTGCTAAGTTTTATAAATTGCATGAGAGCAAATTCATTACACGTTTTTCAAATCATTTAATCTACAAATAATTCAGGGATCCTGAATATGCTCATTCCAAAATATAATGTCTCCTAATAGACACGTAGGAATTGGTTCCTGTGTGAGAGAGGGAGGCAATTGCTTCTGCGTGCTGCAAGCTGTCTCATTTAACTTTATTACAAATGTAGTAATGTCATGTATATAAATATAATGAAAGAAGCTGGGAGCTGATCATGAACCTCATTCAGAAAAGGAGATAAGGTAAATGTTTTCATATTATAATAAATTAAAGGCATGGCATATGAACTAGTTTTAAGTGACCTAGTTCTTTAGTGCACTGGCTTTTTCACAGGATGTTCCAAGAGTGTTTAAATCATGAAGGTGAGATAATGTGGCTAGTTGATGAGATGAATAAGAATTAAAATGATATCTAGGAAAGGAATATCCATATGCAGTGGATAAACATATTTATTAGGAAATTCCTGTGTCACGAATGCTCAAGTGCATACAGTCAGCTTTCAGGGACATCTTTCTTCTCAAGCAAAACCAGTGGAAAGTCATTAAAACTTGGTATCTTCTATTCAAATGGGATAAGCCTGCAGTGCCAGGATAGCTAAATCCAAAGGAAACCAACCTGGGTATTTTTGTTCGTTAGAGGAATTTAGGGTGAGAAAAATCTCCAAACAGGACTGCAAAGGAGGAATTATTTACTTTATTTACCTCCAAATCCTCCAAGAATGGGCCTCTTTCCTCTCCCTGACCTGGAGAGGTGTGGGAACTTCCATGGTTGTCCAAACAAGGGGAACTGTGGCTTCAACCCAAATCCTTTTTAAAGAAAATCAGGCCATTTATGTGATGACTTGTGGGATCCTCTGCCCAAAGATGAATTTCGCCTACTAAGCAGCTGTTGCTCTTTGACCTCTAAGTCTTCTTGAGCAAAAAAAAGGGGTGTAAAGTAAAACGAGAAGAAAATAAAGGTGAAAAATATCCATATTGCTTGTATTTATGGCACCTGCTGCTGATTGCATGTGCACACATGTGAGTGAACAGACTGTTGCTGATGAGCACTGAAGGTCCCTCTCTTTCTTATGGAGTTCTCATAGTTGTTTCAGGATCTTTGTCCTGCAGCTGGCACAGGTCAGCACCATTCATTCTCCTCTCCACAAGATCCTCCCCAGTAATCTTCTGATGAGGTGATTTTTCATTTGGCTGGTGTGATGTGTAGCCATTTGGATGTGTGTGAGTGAAAATCACATCCAACATCTCCTGCTGGGTGTGGGATTGATAGCCCCAGCAAGGCAGGAAGGCTGTTTATTCGCAGACCAGCTAAACTCCAGGGAGTGACAGCAGAAGCAGCTTCATTGGCACCTGCTAATGTGTTTCACCCTGATGTGGAGGGTAACTTGGCTCCATGTCCAAACAGCTCTTGGCCTTTTTGCCCTGTCCCTGTGTGCACTGAGGACACACAGCTTCCTTCACAGAAGCCACCAGCTGTTCTCACCTTGCAGTGACTGGGTTACATATGAGGAGTAATAATTGCTATGCTCCTTGAGACATGTTTATCACAGACCCATTCCCAGTCTGGAAGACAGACTTTAACATTTAACTCCAGTCACCTTTTTTGGTATCCAGCAAAGTTTCCATAAGTCACGTCTGGGAAGAATTTACCATCCTCTACTCTTAGATTGATATTTATGTTGCGGTGAAGTGCAAACAGTTCACTCAGGTACCTGGGGTTTGGCATTTGGATAAGATTTCTGATGGCT